TAACACCAAGGCCATGCATAAATGAAACTTTTAATAATGCGTGTCTACCCAGATCTCTGGGGTTCACAAGAATAAATTATTTTTCATGATTATCAATTATGGTTCCTTATGAATAATAAATCTGATGTTGATCACAGGTGTCAGATTTAATTAAAATTTTCCTGTCACCAACAAGTCAACAGGTGCTTTCACACCTCCTCATAACCATGGAATTTTTTTTCCATGGGCAAGGTGAAAACAAGTTGGAAGGCTTTGGACAAAACTTTCCCTTATCTTCCCTCTCAGACCAGGCTTGGCTGTCACCAAATGGAGCATTGATCACTGATAGCTTGGTGCTTGTGATGGTTGCATTGTGTTATTGCCACACTAGCATAAAGTTGGTGTCTGCGACTGGTTTAACTGGTTTGAAAATTCTGCAGCCCAGAAGGTTGCGACCTGGGTTGCTGTTTTGGATTCAGAGTTTTGAGCCCTGGGTTGCTGTAATTTTTATGAAAAGAAAATTATTAATACTTAACAATTAATTATTTAAATGTTTATTTTGTTGAAAAAAATATAAATTGATAGTGTACATTTTCTGTGCTTAACATCCATGTGGCCCTAAGTCTGGACAAAGAATCCCTTTCTATGAGTTTGGCTGGTATATCCCAAAGGCGTCCTCAGTCTTGTCAGTGGCATGCCTACTTGCCAACAACCCTACCCCATTTATTTAAATAACAAGTTCAGTTGGTCAAATAAAGATTAAAGAGAAACAGAAAATTTATGAAAATGCTTAATTTATAATGTAACATACCAAACAAAATCCAAGCCATTTTATGACTTTTTCCTTGTCGGCCACATTGCTGACAAAGATGTATATAATCATGCAATAATTTTAACCTACAGGACAGAGAACTGATTGAGCAAAAACCCATCCAGTCCCCTACCCAAAATTATAAATTTGTTAGTTAATATCAGAGAAACAGAGTGTTTAGGAAAATGATTATACAAAACAAACACTATTTTACAACTTCCCTCTTAACATCAGAGTCCAAATGCAATTTCAGGGCTGCCAACCCTGCTCTGAATTGTGACCTCCTGTGCTTGAAACGAGCTGCAGATTCTTTTAATATTAATCAGCAGAGTTGCGACTTGGTCACAGAGCCATCCTTGCCCTAGAGGTAGGATCGTTGCAGGCAACCTTTTGACCAGCGTGGCAGCAGCCATCTCTGGTCTGGGAAGATTAGTGAAAGCATCATTGACGATGATGCAATCTCGGTAAATTCCAGGGCCATGCCTCCGCCCCCTGGAATTCTGTTGCATCATTGTATACATCGGAGGGAGCAGGTCAGATTAGCCTTATGTACATGAGGAAGAGTGAATGACTGTAAAGTGTTCAAAGTAGCACATGTGCTTAACACCTGCCAATTTCTGATAATCAAACATCACATACTCAAAATGTCTCTTTTTCAACAGTGTGCTGCCTTGATATCTTCTTGTGATTATATATTTATAATGATATTATTAATGGTCACGAAAAACAAAATATTATCAATGAATATCTTGTAATTACCCAACAAGATCTGCTCCGCGTTTTGATTTCCAATTAAAATATTTATTATAACCAATAAAGACAACAAATATATATATCAATACAAGTAAAAAATAGTACCTCTGGTTAGTTATTAACATGTCTTCTTTAGGAGACCCAAACCAAGCCAAACAACAACACTCACGTTTTGTCACCTTGGACACTGTCAAAAAATAAATTGTTTTTCCAAGAAAGAAAAAAAAAATCAATTCGCGTCTGTCCTACCAAAAAAAAAACCAATAGGATAAATAATTAATGTGTACACGTCGATCAAATAACAAACTTTTTTTACAAACATGTCTTCCAAAAAAGATTCAAATAAAAGAAGAAAAAACCAAGAAACTAAAGATACATATGGGTAAGTGTTTTTAAGGATGGCGGTGGTCGCCACTCATTGTTACTCTAGTTTTATATTAAAATGATCGACATCTCTCTCGTTTATTCACAGATCACCAATTAACGATTTTTTTAAAAAATTAAAAAAAGAACAAGTCTAATAAAAAAAAGGAAAAACAAAGAAAATAATACTGCTGAAAAAAACGAATAAGTGTTTATTATAAGAATGGTGGTTATCGCCGTTTGTTGTCACTCTAGTTATAATTAATTAAAATTTTTACTTATACTTAACTGACTTTCAATGAAAATTCTTTAGCAACATTGATGAGTTTGACGCGGTTGACCAAACCATTATTGATTTTAGTAGAAAAATTTTAATGACATTGACACTTATTCTATTCTCGCATCAAATTTGGAGTCTTTAATTAAGTCTTCAAAAAGATATAAATGTTCCCAGTGAATATGAATTTTTTTGTTTGTTTTGTATCTATTTCATGGTCAAATTTTGCGAATTCTAATCATTTTATCTATCAGTTTATATAATCGTAGGATATTATATTTAGATGTGTTTGAATTAGAATGGATCCCCAGCACAATAATCAAGATCGAATCACTTGGCTTACCAAGAATCAGCCAATTGCAACCACAATTAATAAAATTGTTGGAAGTGTTGGAAGATCTGGTAACTATTGATTTTGAATCTATAAATATGATTATAGGGAGGTTTTAAAACCTGGTTTGATTTTGGCAACCACATCAGACATAATTTTTATCATCTGGTTGAAAATTTGTGGCAAGATCCTGAAAAAGAAGATGAAAAAACAATAAACTATATATTTGATATGATTCTTCATTAGCGAGTATAGTTCTTTTATTATTGAACAATTGGATTTATATAGCTGTGAGCAATTTTCATGTTTTACATGGATTATTTATTCTACAGTTGCGATCTCTTTGATACTAAATCACGAGAAACTCTTGAAGGAGATGCAGGAGTCAATCACATGGTGCCGTTGACAAAACTTATACGCAATCATTTAAAAATTACTTTGTAAATATTCTTATATTTTTGTTTATTTCATTGCTATATACAAACATTTAACATTTATTGTACATTAGTGGAGAATATAATAGCGCTGCTGTTAAATTTCGACATGACCTTGGATGCCCACTCCAAATGGGTGGAAGAAACTCAAAAATGGACCTTGTAGGTATTTATCAAGGTTATGAATTTTTATCACACGAGAATTCTTTTGATCATAAAGACACCACTAAAAAAACACGAAAAGATTTACTTAAACTTGCTACATATGCACGGGATGGATCATTTTTAATATGGCAGGATGCACATAAAGATGTTCAAACTTCTTTCGATAAAATTTTGCAGTATCTTGTTGAAATAAGAACTTGGGGTATCCATCTACTAGGATGCACATAAAGATGTTCAAACTTCTTTCGATAAAATTTTGCAGTATCTTGTTGAAATAAGAACTTGGGGTATCCATCTACTAGGACAAATGGAAGGACATCAAGGCCTTCATATCAAAGTCTTTGGGATGAGGCAAGCAAAATGTGGATTGTTTTTACTTTCAAAATTAGATTCATTTCCGCTGCCAAATGAAGAATCGCTGATAGATTTCCGATGTATCACAAAGCCAATAGAAACTATGATTCGCCTTGCAGTAAGTTTGAATATTTATTTAGCAATGTTATCTTTTATCATATAATGAATTAACATAATCTCTTTCATTTATTAGAGTGGAATCAAAGAGTCCACAAAGCACCTTCAAGAATTGCATCAGGTTATATCGAAAATTCGCCATGGAGAACCTATGGGAGTTTCTAAAAAGCAGGAATATATTCAACAAAGTCTTCTTAAATCGCCTACACGAAAAACATAAAAAAAAAATCCAATTCTTTTTATACTGGTAGATGATTATTTTTAGAATTATTGCATAAAAAAAAAATCCAATTCTTTTTTTTTTTATACTGGTAGATAATTATTTTAGAATTATTGCATAAAAAAAAAATCCAATTCTTTTTTATACTGGTAGATAATTATTTTAGAATTACTGCATAAAAAAAAAATCCCAATTCTTTTTATATTGGTAGATGATTATTTTTAAGAATTATTGCATAAATAAAGATTTAAAATGATTTGCTATAGTGCAAGACACCTAGTCCCACAACTTTTTATTGGCATTGTAGATCCTTATCTAACTCCAAAAATGGAAATGTAACACCAAAAAAATAAGCCGTAATTTTGAAGCTAAGACCTTTCTCTACAAAGTT